GGATTCGCAACGAAGCAGTCGTCGTGGAGGGCGTCGAGAAGCTGAACCACCAGCGGCATTTAGTTTTACGATCGGTAGTGTGCCCTTGTGTAGCGACATGATGACATGCTGATATCAGGCGCAGTAGAAGTGATTGTAGCAGTAGTAGCCGACGGAACTCTGAAGGGCATCGGCAGCAGCCGCGCAGTTGGTATGATGCTCGGGATGAGGATCTTTGCAAGAGGTAGTGAAGTGGGTTATCGGTCGCTCTGGATGATGCGGAGTAGGTCCCGATCGCGATCGAGGGAGCGTCCGACGGCTAAGTTGACCAGAAGGCCGGATGCAGTGGCAGAAAGGGGAGACGCGCGGTAGGGGCTGGCTGGTCTTAGGGTTTAGTTCAACTGTGGCTCTAGAGTCGACGATGAGGCTTCTCGCACACTACTACGGCCAGCTGTGAGGGAAGACGAGTAAGGGACGGGCACGAGAGGTTTTTCGCGAGGCCGCTGTGTAGTTCGTTTTCTGATGCTGGTGAACTCTTCCAGAACTCAAAATTCGCATAGAGGTTGTGCACATTTTCAATCTCAAATTCAGCAAGTGGAGGAACGAATTAGAAATGTGAAATTTGATTTTAGTTGGATTAAAAGAGTTTTTCACGGAATGGAAGCTCAAGATTCTCATTAGACATCTCAGAGATAACCCGTTAAAAATTTTACTGTAGATTGGCATTCGGAGGACATTGAAAATATCTTTCGTTGTGCCTAGTGCGATTGACTCCCATCTGCTCTGCAACTATACCTGCGTTTGAGGAGAACTACAGCCTCGCTGTTTTTAGAAGGAGTAGTCGAGGCGGAAGATCCTCCCCGAGGCAGCACGTCGTCCTACGCCCCAAGCCGCGAGCTGATGGTGATGATAGAGTCATGCATAGGTATGCAGAATTAGTAATGACGAGTTTCGTAAGGCTTCATCCCGCCAGGCACGACGCTGATGACTCCCCTATGGCCATCCCTCGGTCGAGGCGGCGCCGGGAGCGAGAAGGCAGATACCGTGACGAGGACTACCACCATCATCATCAGCAGCAGCAGCACTACATAATATTGAAGAACGTGCCGCCAGGTCGCTAGTGGCCTTCTACCTTGTGGCCAACAAGCTGAATGCTGCCATATGGTCGAGGCTATGACAGTCCCCGATGAACGCCTATTGTCGTTTAGGCACTGACGAGGCTGCTGTGAGATCTCGTTTCCGCCAACTTGGAGAGCGACCGGTAAGGAAGCGTCTGTTCTGGTCAGCAACCTATTCGTTGTATCGGTAGATAAATGTTGATCATTTCCCGGCCAAAGGAGTCTCCTTTGTGTACTTCCATGACGAGAGGGAGTGTGTTAGTGCCCTTAAGATCTTCCAAACGAACGGTTCCAAGATGCGGGAAAACGACGATGCCCAGGCAGGGACGTCGGCAGCTCCTCGTGATGACCTTTGTATGAGCTCAGGTGTCGGCCATGCTTGTCCCTGCAGCCAAGAACCCTCCTCGGGCTCGAGAGCTCGCCTGCCAGATTGAGAGGTGAGGAACGATCGGTTGAAAAGTCTTGAGACGCTTTGGCAGATCTCAACGAGACAATGTACTGCGGGCAGCGGTTGAAGAATACGACTACGAGGAAACCCGACGGAAGACTCGGAGTCTCGCCATGGGGGTAAGTAGGCTCACTGGGCCGGCTGGTGACGCACCTGTTCTCCGTGACAGGGAATCAACTCGGATATGTGGCATTCATACCTAGAGGATGGAGGCTCATCGGAGCGACAGATGAGAGTACCCAAGCCTAAGGAAGGTGAGTAGACTCAGTTCACTAGATCTGCCGGTCCATGCCTTTGTGTAGGTCATGCTCTACCCTACTGTAAGTGCATGGTGTATGATGAGGTAGCGGAGCACTACTATGATGAGGACAGGAACTGGGCCTACAACCCAAGAACGGGTTTTTGGTGAGCAGACGTGCTGCTGCTGTTGTTGGCTTGTTAGAGGGTCTTCGCGGAGTAGGTATCACCGTGATGGTGTGTACTATACCTACTACGAGCCTTTGGGTGTACTCGTTGGTTATGCTAAGGACTCACCGGTTAGGGCGCTGCCTGGCGAAACAGAGCTTTCGGAGGAGCAGGAGGATAGGATTCGAAAGGAGGTGATAGTCACTAGGCCTTCTCGGAGAAGGGGCGGAGCTCGGCATCCGGGTTCGATTCCCATGCCTGGCGTTTTTATGCGAAAATATGTTTTTTGGACGGAAATCTACATGGTCCGGGCGGAACCCTAATTTCGTATTTTTCCTAGTATCCCCAGAGCGAGAGCTATCGAATGGTGTATAGCATGTGATCATAACCTCTCTAGATCGAGCTGGATAATTTGTACGCACGCACGCACGCACAAAGTGTTAGTAAAGTGAGAGAATACGCTCCGCTCGCTTCGCTCGCTCCGCAATTGCTGGAACTACCTCTCGGGTCATTGCTGCTCAACAGATCAGTCGAATGACATCAGGGTTGCCATCACAAGCGGCGCCATCGGCCCACCGAACGAGTGAGATCGGCGACGGTCTCTCTGAAGGCGATGCCGGGCCTGATGGACGTGAGAGTCGATCGAAGCCATCAAAGGTATGTGTCGCACCTTTGGGAGGCTCAATTTTGGTATTTCACGTGCCCTAGGTACAGTCCATGAGTGATGATGGTAAGCTGCAGCGTGGCAATGAGGCGGGTCTTCCAGTGAGTGGGATATGGTTGATGATGAGGGCATTGTGTTGATTAGGTTGTGGGAGGGAAGAAGGGTCAGCGGACGACAGAGGCCGAGCGGAGTTCTCTGGGAAGCTCCAAATTGGCATCGATTTACTTCAACCCGAACCAGTTTGGGACGATGTCGTTGCCTCGGCTGCCCCCACAGGAGCAGAAGACTCGTCTGCAACCACAGTCTGTTGCCCTGGAGACTGCCCCCGCACCGCTGGCCAGCGAGCCGGTGATTCTGAGCAAGCAACCACTTGGTGAGACGAGGAAGCGGCTGGTGAGCTCGGGAGGAGATGGCAAGGAGGGAGCTGTAAGTCTACTCTAGGATCACTTTTCGGGTTGACGCCTTCTGTTCGTGCCTTTATACCATCGTTCGAGTGGTTCATGTAGATTCCTTATTGACGTATGCAATCTGCCAATGAGGAGCATCGTATAATCTCAGATCTGCATGCTTTGTCAACGGAGATTCAACTCGGTTGAACTTCTCTTACGACACGAGAAACTGTCGAAGATGCACAAGGCGAATTTAGAGAAGGAAAAAAAGCAATCGATGGAGAGCCAGGAAGATAGCGACTCGCCGCCTTGGCGGAAAGCTGTGAAATAGGAAGATTATACCTAGCAATACCAACGTAACTATTCACCCCTTACTCGGACACTTTTCTTTATAATATCAATCTTGGCGTTATGAATTGACGAGTTGACTGTACTCCTAAGTGGGCGCCGCAGGTACAAGACGTCAAGGGTTCGTCATGGACTGCGTATGATGATGATTTCTCTTTCCTCTTCGGTGGAGATGAGCAGGGCTTTCCCTTCTCCCCTATAAGAATAAATAACAGTGCGTTGAGACGTTCCTCGTGCTACTGTCTGAGGACTGGCGTGCACCCAAGGTTGCAGCTGGTCGTTCGTTTTCCAGTGTGATAGAATATTTTCTGCTTTCCTTCCTGAGATAGGCTATGATATAGTCCATAGTGGGAAGGGATTTCCTCTGAGAAGTTATCTGTATCAGAGTCCATCATTCAGGGTTAACCAAGGAGTTCCAAACCACTAAATGCTTCCTAGGTGCCACGTGGTCGCAACATTCGAAATGGATGCCACCGTCTGAGTCCTTCCGCGCTGTATATGGGCAGTACATGCACTCTGCCATTTCTCTTGATAGAGAGCTCACTGCCTCGGGACCAATGTGTGATAAGCTGAAGACCGCTGAGATAGTTCCCGTCAATGAGCAGGCTATACCTTCAATCCTTCGCAGCTGGCCGTGAGATGCTTGGCTCGAGGCGTGTTATGACACGTCGGTTGAACGTATGCACATGCTCCGTGAACCGCACAAGATGCGCAGTCACCTTACTGGAAAATTCCGACTCGCCTTATCGCCATCGGAATGGAGATGGACGCAGTTTCATTCCAGCTAGATAGTCACACTTGCCCATTGAAGAAGCATTTTTGCTACTATTACGGTAGCACTGTATAACCTGTAGCATCCACAACTAAGTGCAAATTTGCATTCGTGAAAGACACTACTGTCTCCTAGCCGTGCAATTAGCAGCGCTAGTCTCTTCCCGCAGATTCACGCTGATTTCGTGCGCTTCGATTCCCGTTGCCCTCCCTTCTTTTCTGGAACTTCCCGACCGATGGTGACGCCTTGTTCATCATTCTGTCGTTTTCAAGTTGACTTACCGAGGAGCCATGCTGCCCATCCAGCTCCCTTTGTTGTTCCGCGACACAGGCCAGGGAGGTATACGCGTGTCGCTGAACAAGGTCCTTGCCGGCTTGATCGATCTGGTCACCACCCTTCAGAAACGGCTACATGCGGTGAGCGTAGATGTCCGAATCACTTTGTATAGAATGAGAGTTTCTTTTTCTTTGCAGATTCTGGTACGGTACCCGCGACTCTACTGGCTGCTTACAGTGTTCTTGTCTATGGTCGTACGCGTGTTTAGGAGTGTAGCGATAGTCTTCCGTCTTTTCACCACGAGTAAGGGTTCACCAGTGGTATCAAATACCAAGTCATCACGCGGTTGGACAGTTCCTCGCTCGCCATCCCTCGAACTCAACCAGTCTACTGCTGATACTCCAACTAATCGTGTAGAGCCGACCCAAGATGCCTGTGTGATGGTGGTGAGTGCCCACACTATGGGCAATACCCCAACAGAACGCGTTATTTCAGGGCGACAAGGCGCACTGCTGTGTGCCAGAATCCAGTAGCCTTTCTTTCGGGACATCAGAGACTAGCGTTGGAGAAGACATCGATGGTGGTGTTGTTCCTTGCCGGGCCACTCAGTCCCTAAAGAGGTAGGGGGATTCAACTCTGCCAAGAAGGGGAATTCAGTACCGTGAACTGGCTTCCCTTCGTAGGTGTTCTTACCCCGGCAAGAGGGGGTGTGAGCTCATCGCGATAGCAGGCTCTCAGTACTGTCAACTTCATCACGTTGAGCCGTGCTCCAGTGAGTTACCTGTTCACCTTGGTCGTTACGCAGCAATAGTAATGCTGCGCTATGGCTTTTAGATAAGGAACAACAACAACAATGCGGAGATCATCTACGTGACGGCGTAGATTTTCATCATGTACGTGATCTTCCCATGAAGTGTACTGACTCTTTGTTATTCAGCAGAATCAGGATTTGACCGAAGAGCGTGATCAAAAGAAGTACTTCTCCCGCGATTGCAACTGTGGTCCTATGCTATGCGTTGCGGACTCTGGAGGAAAGTGTAGGTTGTCTCCTGCCTCGTGATGAGTTCGCTCGCTGAGCCACCCGATCTCTGGAATTCAGTGCTCAATACCAACTACTCTGTCGAGGAATATCTGAGCTCTCCTTCGAATGTGTTAACACTGCATGGTGGACTCGCCCTTTCT